CATTCTCCGCCGATTGTACACTACGCGTGAGGAGCAGACCCGCGAGGATAGGGCTGGGTTTCGTGCCGGTCGTGGATACATCAATCAAATCTTCACTCTCCGACAGCTGCTAGAGCATCGTCATACCTACCAAAGACCAACGCTCATCGTATTCTCAGACATCTGTGCAGCCTTCGACTCTGTCGATAGTACCGCACTATGGAATTGTTTGCTAAGGAATGGAGTATGTGAGAAGTATGTGTCGATCCTCAAAGAGTTGTATCGTCATACCTCAGGTAGGGTTAGGGCCTATGGCCAGTTTTCGCCAGTGGAGTTCGGCAAGGTTGCTTTATATCCGCATTTTTCTCAACTTTGTCATAGAGGATGTTTTACTGAATGCTTTGCACGGTCTAGCAAACGGTGGAGTCGAACTCCTCCCAGGGAACAGAGTCTTTGACTTGGAATATGCCGATTACATCGCCTCGCTGGGTGACAATAACAGGCAGTCCAAGACTCTTTGGACCGCTTGGCGATCGAGGTATCCAGGTATGGTATGTGCTTAGCACCTTCCAAGTGCAAAGTGCTTGTTCAAGACTGGCAGGAGCTTATGCCTGCAGTCTCCTCCCTGTGGTGATTAGCTGAAAGTATTTGAGAGATTTAAGTACTTCGGGAGCTTGGTCGCAGCTGATTTGGTGTAGGTGAGGTGATCCCATCACGAATAGCGAAAGTTAGAGCAGCTTTCGCCAACCAGGGACACCTGTGGAGCCACCCTGACATCCGACTGTTCCTTAAGGGAAGGGTGTACATCGCGGCGCTTCATAGTGTTCTACTTTACGGTTGCGAGACCTGGCCTATCCGCGTTGAGGATGCTAATCGGCTTTCTGTATTCGACCACCGATGTCTCCGAAGCATTGCTCGTGCCTGGTAGGAAAATCGAGTGGGCAATGACGAGGCCCGTAGTCGTGCGTTGGGTGTGGATAGTCGTTCACGAACAGAAGTAATCGCTCTACACAGCCTCCGATGGCTTGGTCACGTATTGCGTATGCCTGCCCATAGACTACCTTCCCGTGCTCTCTTCGCACATGCCGGGCAAGGCTGGAAGAAGCGCCGCGGCGGTCAGGCCATGACATGGCATAGAGGCATGAAGAAACTGGCTTCAGCTTTGGCTTCGGTTGGTGCAGCCCGCCTTCCAAGTTGGTGTCGAATAGATGAGGATCGTCGTTGGTTAGAGACGCTGAGATGTAGAATAGATGCAGAATAGAAGTCAGTGGCGCGAATGCTGTACGGTCTGTCTGTCGAAATCTCGTGCACCGTAAAAACAAAAAAAACAACAAACAACACAAAAAATATCAAAAGGTGTATGATGAAACACACACACACAATCTTGTTATTCCAGTTACCTACATTTTTCTATCTTAATTCTTCCACCTTCTCCCCAATTTGCTCTATATTTCAACCCACCTGACACATGTTATTGTTGTGTTGGCACCATGCTTGTTTACAAGCTGGTATATATATATATATATATATCATTCCATGGGTCTTTACAGATGAATTCGTGAAGAGTTAAACTACTCAGCAGGAGAACGCTTAGGGGATTTGGCTAAAACATTTTCTCTCCAGCTAACTACACGGCGAATTGGGATGAGTAGATTGGTAGTCCCTCCAACACTACTAACACGTAAGACATTGACTCAAGTTGAGCCTCCGCCCTGAAGGTTTAATGGACCGGATTTAGTCAGAACTCAAACTCAAGATAAACCGATAGACAAAGCTGAACCGAAACTGATTCAAACACCTAGATCAGTTGTTCAAACGAAATAAAATTAACTCCCCAGTTCATAGTGATTCTTGACTGTAGTTGGAAAAGAACAAAATAAGCTGATGAAAGTGAAATTTTAGTCAAACGGTTCATATACTCGCTTATAATTGGGAGGCTATGTAATGAAATCACTCGTTCTTATACGAACTCAAGTAGAATCTGTAAGACGTGTCAGACAAAAAGTAAGACAACTAAACTCGAAGCATACCATATCCACAAAAACCTCGCGCTTCAGTGACCGTCTGGTATTGTGTACACGGGTCGCAGCTTTGAGAACGGATTCCAAACTGTCCGAATTGACACCGTGTGTAACACGAGGTAAGTTGTCGGTGGATTTCACTGAGGATGCATCTGCCAAGCACGTAGATGCCAGATTGTTCTCTTTGATCGCTATGTTTGACGAGGCAGAGCGTTTAGACTTCTCGCGGTACGCCGGTAGCCGACGCACATTACTGTTTGAACGACTAGTCAATGGCAAGCTGGCTTCGGAACGATCCAGACGAGGTTTTCGTGAGATTGAAAGAAGGCTGGGTGCATCTAACGAGGTCCGAGAGGAACAGGATGCGTTCGTTTGGGCAACACTTGCGAGACTGACGCATTCTGCAACAGACGAGCCTCGGTCTGCGGAAATACCTCGCATCAGTGTTATTTTTGGTCTGAAAAACAAGCGGTACAATTGAACTAACAGTATGAATAACAACAGTGAGGATAATTCACACATGGTGGCCACCTTATTAGACACATCACATATTCATTACAAAATATCAGTCAGGAAGCTGCGACAGATTGATAGCAGATACAAATTATCGGTGATTCTAGGGACTAGAGAAACGACGGAGGTGGTTTCTACTATTTAATGGGTGGTGCCAGTAAAGAACTGTACCTACAGGTTGTTCTATCGTTGTTAGTTGAAAACTTAATTACAACCAGTGAATTGTAAAACCTGAACGTCATTCCAGACATTTCAGGACTTTACTTGTGGGTCGTTACCGATCGTTTGAGGTATTTAAAACTGAGTTCTCAGAGGTAGATGTTCGACGCATAATGCATCAAACACTTCTGCACTCTTGTTGAAGANTTGAAGAGAATCCAAATGGAGTTCCATTTCGTCTGCTAGCCAAGCTTGGCAATTTGTTTGCAAACGTTTCATTACCAGCCGAGGTGACATCATCAGTGCTTGTGCTTGCAAACAAATTACCAAGCTCGGCGAACAGAAGAAATGGAATTCAGTTAACCGGAGCTACGAGAACCGATTACTAAAATTTTGTCAACAGAATCCAAACTGCTCTGTCGAACAGCTGAAGAATCCAATTCGAATAGATCTTCCCCAAGGGGCCATCAATATTGCATCGGTTGATCGACTATTGGGTTGATATCATTGTTCTCAGAAAAGCTGGTCAGACATACCATTTTGATTGTTAAATAATCAAAAAGTGGATGAAGAAACATACCGAATGATTGTAAGCATGAAAATTGAAGACCACAGATACAACGACGTGGCTTTTATCAGAAAAGCTGCTTTTAATAAAATGACCCTATTTATAGTATTTCACACGATTGACAGCTACTGAAGTTTATCAAACCCACTCAGGTGTTATTTTAACATAATTAGCTACGAGAAAACTCCAGTCTATTCCTCATCCACCTTGTGGGAAACTCGGTTGTTATGGTTATCACATACAAAAATGAATCGAAGTAGAAAAGTGCTAGGAACTGGTGTTCGGATATTACGATTCAACAGGTTATTTGTAACCAATTTATTATTCTATCAGAGTACTAATCATAATGGTTGAAATGTAGGACCTCGGATGCAAAACTACTCCGTTACTCGGGATTTTACGACTGTAACTGTTTACTGTCGTAGTTGTGATGGTGATATGTTTCCCGTTTGAGTTGGTAATGGGTCATATCAGTAGAATCCGAAATTTGTTAATCGTATCTGCTGTAACTCCGCGTTTCCTGTGCACAACACGTGTCATGATAAGCCTCAATTCAGTCGGAACACTGTTCGGATTGGTGCATGCCTAATTCGATTGAAGGGTATTAAGATGAGGCTAAAAGGAGATGCAAAAAGACAAAAAGGTGTTTGAAGGAGGATTGGGAAATCTGTAGTTCGGCATTAAATTATTCTGGTGTTAAAAAATTCTGAACACGATGCGCCTTTCCCACTATACATATTAGCGTCATGAACGGCAGATGGGGTAAATCCCGTAGTCAAAAGGACCTGTTGTTCGGTGATAGAAACGGTAACATGAGCCTCGGGACTTGGAATGGTAAACCACGTTAGGTCCCGCTAGGTTAGGCGTGGTAGTGAACATATTCAGTGTAGTTCTAACTCTTGTGTAAGTATACCCAAATGAATTACGTGATATGCAAGTATACTATTAAATTAAATTTTCTTTATGGAACTCTCTCCTAGCGAAGAAACAAATTAGCTAAATTTGTCCGTTGTTCTGAGACCGACTTTTGAATTCTTTACAGTCTCCAGTCAGTGATTTTTTTTAGTCGTAGATAGTAAGATGTCTATTTCGTGACGCGTGAAAAAGAAAAACAACATACTCGGCGTGAGAGGATTCCGACGGACTGGTATTGGATGAACTCGGTGGGTAAGCACGCTTCAACACCACACGAGGATCGTACGAACCATGATCGATGATGGTGGCCACGGGTGTTTTGAATTCTGATGCATCCCCGTTGGTTGCTTCTACATGCGAGATAGAAGCAGAAGTTGGTAACTGTAAATCTCACAAAGTTAAGAACAACAAAGTAAGTGGCGGAAGAATCTAGCATAATATACAATAATGAAGATGGAAATCTACTGAAAACTACAATTATGACACACTAGGTGTACTGGAGGGTGCTGGTAAACGCCTTCAAAGAAGGGATGAACGCACATGATAAATCCCGTGGCCAAACAGAAGTGTGAAATTACACGTTGAATTAGGGGTTCCAGTTTAAACCATCGAGTAGTTAGTTGTAGTAACAAAATAATTGGGATAATTCCTACTCCCAAAAGTGCACACTCTACAGACCATAAAATCTATCACCTCAAACCCTATGGGATTAGTTATCGCATATCTACTCGATCACCACCTGGAGCAAAAAAACTACTTCGCGACAGTCAGTAGGATTTTTCGTTCCGACAATCTTCTGGCACACCAGAAGATTTCGCATGTCACCAACAGTATCAGCTTTTCAGTTTTTACAACCATTAACCATGCACTTTCGTAAGCCGGTATGGTTATTGCCTTTCGGCCGCCCATTTGGATAAAAGAGCAGAATAAGGATTGGGATGTTGAGAGCAGAGTCAAAACGATGATAGAGAATTCATATAGATTGTGGTTGCGAGAATATTGAGTAGATGCACCAGCGCTACTGTTTGCGGCACTCAGCGTCTTTAACCATCGGTTACCATGATCTCGAAGTCCCCATCCAGAGAGCCTAACGGGACCTTCGTAAACCGGTGTCCTGGTTAGGGTTTTTATACCCTCATGTCATGCCTTAGTTTGACCGCCCTTGACCTTTTACCATCCGCTTTCTGCCTCGGAAAACATTGCGTACCGTAGCAATCTATTTGGTGACATGGGCAGTACATGCCCCAACCAATGTAATCTGTGGAGGTTGACTACTTGCTATAGTAGGCGACCGACCCTTAGTCTCATGCACCCAATGAGACAAGCGGAACGTGGACGGGACAGCACCTTATTGGCTGGAGGCTGCCTAGCTTGG